AGGCACGCCACTAGGTAGGTCAGTTGGAAAGACATCTTCATATTCCCATATGAGTTACTATGCCCTTTTTACTCTTTTAATTGTCTTGCCCATCATTGATGCAAGATTTGGAGCCACCATATATACTAGTTGCTTATATTATATTTGTTTCTTCATAAAGGTCATTCCTATAAGTGAGCCTTTGATTGCAAGTTATCTTTTTTCTTTACTTGGTATAGATGTGCAAAGAATCACCTTACATCTACTATCTTTGAATGAGATTGTCTTTGCTATCTAATCATCTTCCTTATTTTCTATTTCTAGATATGATATACTAAGGATAACATCATATCTTGACATTGACACCTTGAACCTTTTCTTAAGACATAAGTGTTCATTAACTTCAAGGTTTCTTTTTCATATGTTTCACTCAATATGTTCTCTTGATCATTTGCAAGGTGTATACTTCTTCCCTTGATTGCCTTAGTTTTAATTCCAAGTCAATTGATAATTTCACTTGAGATACAATTTTTTGTAGAGCCACAATTTACAAGCACTCGACATAGTTGTCTTCTTAGTAGTCCCATTAGATGCACTAGTTGACTATTTTTATAGTTGTTTAAAGCTATGCCATTTGTCTCTGAGAGACAATAACTGTCTTTAGTACTGGCCCTTGGAGCCTCTACTAGGGAGCCCTATTTTATCTCATTATCAACTTGGTGAGTTTTAAGACTATGAACATGCCTTGTCTTACATGTACTTGAATTTTGACATTTTGGACAACCTTCAATCTGATGGCATGGCTCTCGACAATAGAAATACAATCCCTTTTGTACCAATATATGTCATCTTTGTGGTATCAATAATCTTTGTAAGGCATCAATCTCCATTGGCATTGATTATTGTGCCATAATATAAGATAGCGGCATAAGACTTCGTGTTATAGGTCTTGTTCTGTAATTTTTGAAATTTATAGCATCGACCCTCTTTGCAATCCGAATTGCCTCTTTGAATGTTTATAGATCTTTTAGCTCCACTTTCACTGGATTCCACATTTCAAACCTCATAGGAATTGATCTATCATCTCTGCCTCCAAAACATTGTCAATCTAGAGATATAGGGACTTAAATAGAGAGACATAGTTTTGCACCAACCTAGATTGTGTAAGATTTGCCAATGACCTTGTGCTATCTTCTCTGCATTGATGGACCAAAATTAATTCCTAAACTTGGTCTCAAACTCCTTCCAATCATAAAATCCTCCTTAAGCTCCATAGCTTTGAACTCGATGTTGCTACCAAATGGTTGCCACATCTTTCAAATAGTTTTCTATATATATAATTCCTTCAGTGATATTTGCATTAGAAAGTTGGAGGTATAGTTGTATGTTGAAGAGCCATTGACATACATCTTCTTGTCTTGAAGTTCCAAAGTATGTATTAGGCTTATTTAATTTCAGCCTAGCAGATGTCAACTCTCTTATCCTCGAGCCTTTTATTTGTCCTTGCAAAATAACTATCTGGCCTAAGATGTGTTGTATTTGAGCCTCCATCTGGGATTGCTCTGCCATATCTTCCATGCTGTAATTTCTCTGTTGGATTCCAATATTGTAATGCCTTCTTAGCTCTCACTTGACTTTTTAAGAGTAGCTTATGGTAGCCTTAATATGATATCTAATATGACTATAATAATTGATCTTGGACTAGATGATGACTATTGACATAGTATCAAAAGTAAATAGTCTAACGTTTGCTCTGATTCCAATGAAACAAGATTGATCTATGTCAAGTGTCCAAGACCGTTCTAATCCACAACAACATGAAACCTCATCACAAGATAGGATAAACTCAACCAAAACAAAACTAAACATAACTAAATGAAATGAGATACGAGAGACAAAATTGAGCAACCAAAATTAAGTCAGAACAGAAGAAAACAAGAAGATACAAAATCCAATTGTATTAAGAGAAAGGATCCAAAGCCATACTTCACCAAATGCCTCAAAACGCCTTGGCTAATACTATTTATACCTTGTCCTACTACTCTAGACTTTCTAGAATGTTCTAGGTGGTGGACTCTATCTAGATAACTATCCTAAGTCTTTTCTAGAAGATTCTATGGTAGGCCCTACCTAAATAATCGCCCTAAATTCTTTCTAGAATATTCCATGGTGGATCTTACTTGATCCATTAACCTCACTCCAATTCTAGAAACTTCCATGGTTCTAACTATCTATCCCTATACAATTATCTTATCTATATCATGTTACTTAATCACTTTAAAAATAGTATAATATTAAGACTAGAATGGCTTCTGCTAAATACAAGAAGACTACAGACCTTTGAAACAAGACTAAGAATAAGAAAGGCATTGATAAGAGTAAAAAAAGTTTTATTCTTACTTCCATATATACTATCAATTAGAAGTTATGTTGCAACGTTTTATAAGACCTTTTATTGTGTGTCCAACTTGTGAGATATGTGTCTACATTACAAGAGAAGTTTCTTACATATGTACCATATAGCCTACTTGTAGCACAAGTCATCTATAAGTGCAATACATGTCCAACTTGTTAGCCTAGTTTCAAACCTATCAATCACATACAAATACATATAAAGTCAAATCTGAGTCTATGAAGCTTCTAAGAAGCTTTTCCATATAATATTATAAAAACTACTCACATTTGTTTTCTATCTAATACTCCTTATCTAAGTAATTATGTATGTCCATAAAATATTGTCAAAGAAATATATTTTGATCTAAAATTTGGTAAAATCTTTTAAACTATAGTCAAATGTTATAGAAACACTAATATAATAAATTAGATAAATTAATAGATGATGGTGAATCATTATTCTAAAATTAGAATAAAGCTTAAATAACCAAGAAAATGATAAGCTAGACAGAGAAAAATAGTTGATGTAAAACCTAGTGTTTTTCCACTACAACATTATTATCCATACTAATTTTGATTCTAACTTGTTATAATTCTTAGCTGACTACTAGAATTAGCACTTCATTCACCACCCTATCACCTAAGTCTTACGTCCTTGAATGCCTTGTACTTACTACTACTGAACATACAGCAGGAGGCAATGTCAAATAAATAAAAAAAACCAATAGTAACCCATGTATTATTACATGACTAAGTACAAATACAAATGTGTGGGCAAGGAGATCTGAAACTTGGCGGCATGCAGAGGCACGGAAGCATTGCAGTGGCAGAATGGGTGAGATTGCGATTGCGGTGGAGGTGCGAACTATTCTGTCGGCTGCAATGGCTGAGGGCGGGACTTCTTCACAGCTTCCAGCATCACCAGATTCGGGTTACGGAGCTCATTCAACGCTGTCGGGGACATCCACAATTGCCTAATCAGGGGGATGCTTCTTATTATTTCCAAATCTGTTCCTCCTTTGTCCACAACATTGGAGGCACGAGGAGAGAATAGCTGTGGCTCATGCTCCACATCCCATTCAGGACTTGCATTGTATTCTCTCTTTGCCTGCTTTGGTAATGCGGTAATTCTGGCGACGGGGTTGGAGTTGGCCTTGAGCATGGAGGCTCTTTGCTTGTCTGTTCGGGTGCTGAAACAGGGTTTGGAAGAGATTGTGTCGGAACGAGCAATTGATATGAGGTGAAGGAAAAAAGAATAGAAGAAAAAGGTTGTATTTTTAATTGTTTTAATGTATTATTTTTAGTTAAAGGTGGTGGAGGGGGGATCGGACCAACACTTCGGTGCTGGGGAGATTGGCGGGCTTGATGACGGAGTTTGAACTCGATTGAGTTTGTGGTCAAGTGGATGCTAAATTTGGGTAGTGAGAACTGTGCAAATGGGGAGGGATACTTGTGGGTTGGATTCTTGACTGACCATGTCTCGAGGGTGCTTTTTCTCTGATCGTCGTACTTCTTCTTGTCTACAATGGCTATTAACTTTCTTCTCTTGACAGTCAGACTACTCTCTGGTGTGGCCAAGATCTTTCGAATGTTGGTATTGTCTTGTGATTTTTAGGGTTCAAACTTTGTCTGTGCTCGGTTGCTGTACTTCTTCACACATGGGGAGAGCTGCACTTCCCATTGGAGTAGATAGGTGCCATGCGAGGAACGCGAGCGCAATGCATGGCTGTGTGGCACCGGGCAAGAGACGGGCTAAAGGGGGAGGGATGGGGCTCATGAGGAAACGGGAGAGGAGGGAGACAGTTTCGGACAGCTGCAGAGGAGCTGGTGGGATGGTGAGACGCACTCGGAAGAAAGAGGTGCACAACCGTAGCAATGGAATGGGGCAAAGGTCTTGGGGAGTGGAAAGGATCTTGGCCCATAGGATACCTTACTGCTTCATTTGTTTCTCTTAGTAGACCCTTTTTCTCTCGCTTTTTCTTGCTACTTCTTTCATGCCAATGACCATGTGCGATAAGCAGTGGTTGACTCGGTTTGAAGTTGAGTTTTGTCCGTTTAGTTAGTCATTTGCAGATGTATATCCATGTGTTGAAGTGCATTTGAAGGTTTTGAGGTTTTGATCAGAGATTGGGGTCACTCTGCGGCAGCCAGCTAAATTTAGATTTTCCTCATTGAGATGACCTCATCTCTAGAGACGGTATTGTAGTGGATGAGTTGAGTCATTGCCTTCAGGTGCTTTCTATGCCACGCAATTTTGATTAGCAGCTGATTTAGTTTCCAGGAGTTAGTAATATGGAGGGTTTCTTTCAGCACCAAGTGTACAGTTCTGGTGAACTCGGGAATTCAGATCATCAATTGGTTTATATACGATCCTTTATTGGTGGAACATTTTATCATTGTCTGTATGAGATGGGCAACCTGTGCCATGGTCGACCTTGCGTTGAGTTAATGAGTTAGTGTTTGTGAAAAGGGGCTCGTCTTAAACTTTCCTTTCTTGATAAGTTGTTGCATTTTGTTTGCTTGAAGGACCAGCTGTGGATTTGGCGCCAGTTGGTAGTCATTATCGCATTCATTGACTCTAGATGCCTTTCACATAATCCAAGTCTAATAATTGTTGTAGCAATATCTTTACCCCGAAATTAACAGGAGCAGTACTTCATCAATAATCCAGTCCATGAATACTCAATGAGACTGAAAGGAAGATCATGCTATTTCTCTGGTGAATATCCAGCCTTATAAGTGACTTATTACATTAGAAATGGTACTACTAGATCAACTTGAGAAAGATATTGATAGAGATTTGAAATTAGTTCCGGAAAGATCACTGACTAAAACACGGTCGTTGCGACTTGGAAATCAGAAAATCTACCACAATAATTGGAGAAAGCGAATCCCTTCGCAAAACATTGTCAATCTCTTGCACTAATATAATCGATCGCTTGCTTGCAGATCCCGGTCATGCTTGCCTCCGGTCCGTACACCTGAAACACAGTCATTTGGTTAATCAAATTCTCTGGCCAAGATTAAATGCATTCATCAGTATTTGCTCGCTTTTGCTGTAACAATCAGGTCGCCTTACTCCCCAAGTTTGCCTTTCAAGATGTTCTCCACTGTCCAAGTTAAGTGACAAACGATCTAGTCTGACAGTAGTCGATCATAAATAACTGCTGATGAAGAAATTTGCCAATGTTCTTAACAATGTCATCCTGTTTGCAAGATTCAGCACTACAGTGGTTAAGCTCATTACCTCAATAGGAACTCCAGTCTCTTCACTTAGAGCCCGCATGTTTGCCAGACCCTTCAAGTAGTTGGGGCCTCCTCTCCGCACGAAAATGTTCACCCTTGCTGCTTTTAAATGAGATTGCTGAACAGAAAACGAATGAAAATGTTACACCACATTTTTTAAAAAGATTCGCAAAAGTGAAAAGTAGCTCAAATCTCAGGGAAGCTTACCTTTTCACGCATGGCTCGAATGATGCCGTTGAAAGTTGCTGCAACATCAGTGAAGTTAGCAATGCCTCCACCGACAACCAAAGCTCTCTTGCGGCCATCAGGATTTGCTGTACAACACTGGCATAACAAAGAGGTTGATAATGAGCAACTGAAATCTAACTATTGTAATAGCACCCAAGGACTAAAAAGCAACTTCGATACTTGTGAAATCATTAGAGTATTTATTGTGATTATTTGTGGGGTGGAATCAAATAAAAGGACTAGAATATCTAGGAATCTTCAAAGGCGATGCACAGTTCTTTGTTTTCATAGTCGCAAGTGAACCTGAGAGGAGACATCATAAGGGAACGTCCAAAATTCAGTGGAAGGAGAACCAACACTACATAGAAGACTTGAAATGCTGTCCAAAACCAACTATAGACGGACTTACGTCAATCAAAGCACGGGCATACTGCAAAGTCTCTTCTTCATTTGGAGCTCCACTGTACTCAGCATAATTGCCAAGCTCGTGTGCATAACCAAGATCCCCGACCTACAAATTCACATATTAGAGCCCGAGGATAGAAAAGATCAGTGACAAAGATCTTACTGTAGTGTACAAGATCAATATTCAGACTCAAACATCAGCTTTACAGGCTCTCTGGTATAAGGCAACTACTTGAAAGACTCTGAATTTCATCGACAAAGTTTCTTCACAAAAAGGTGTACGAGTTGTTAGTAGATTCTATTAAACCCGTCCACTGATTGAGGTTGTTGACTCAAGTCTGATTCTAATCGTCTGTATTCTCCTCAGTTAGGTTTAGAACAGACGCTGCAGGTCAACTTACAGTATCAGCGTAAATGACACTGGCACCACCTCCAGCAACCATTGTCCAAATGCGGCCCTTCGGATTCAGTATCGTCAATTTCAGAGAAGCACCGGTCTGCAGCCACATAAACACTACTTAAGACCCTGTATAGAAATGATCACGTGAAGTGGAATTGCGATGGTTAAAGTCTGGAGTGGAAGAATTTGGTAGTGTCTTGTATTAGATAAATGAATCAATCACACCTTCTCGTCCATCCTGTGAATACTCTCCTCGGCTGGAGTCATGGTTCTTCCAAAGGGTAATGGAAACTCCACATTGCCCCACCTGCACAAATGCAGCTCCGTTCCCCATTGGTACATGTCACAAGCAGCCTCAACTATTTCTTTTTTAGAGCATTTGAACATTTGAACGTTGCAACGCAGTAGAGCGCACAAGCTTTACCCCGCATAATGGGATTCGAGGTGAGCGAAGAATCACGTTTGTAAGCAAATCGTTGGTATGCTCTACGAACATTGATACAAATGTCAGATATTTCACAGTAATTCAAGAATCAGAACGTACTTCTGGAAGTTCTTAAAAAGAGCAGTATCATCCAGCTCGCCACGCATGTCCAATGGAAGAGGGACGTTATTGACGAGTGTAAATGGGTTCATCTCCAGCAGAGTGAAGTCCAAATCTGAAAAATGAGGAGCCAATAACCATCAACTTGGACTGATGTTACAAAAAAACCAATGAAGAAAGGACCCGAACAAATTTCGTCTACTTCTGCAAGACGTGGTTCAGCTTATACCTTCAAAGACAGCGAATGAGCCCTTCAGAAAAGCTTCAATAATAGGTCGAACCTGGAAAAGTCCAAAAATCAAATTTAAAAAATCTGAAACATCGTAGCCTTCCAACTTGTGACACAGTATCGCCGATGGCTGCAGACACCCGATGAAGGTCCTCATGATGAAACATGAACCATTCACAGGGAGAGCTGTTTCAAAAACACAAACTACATTGTGTCGCACATGAAGAGCCTGGGCAAGAAAGAAGAGCTAATTACCTCCAATGGAAGTGTGGCAATCAATGGAGCACATAGCTCGGACGTCAGAGTCTTCTCAGTAGGTATAAAGACGGACCTGACCTGAACCCCATCCAGATTAGTCCAACATTGGCTAAGAAACAGGCGGCCGGTAAGGTCTCATAGAAATAAACAAACTTGGAAGTAGAACAATGAAACTTCCAGTCTAGTCCAGATCTGTCCCCAATCCAATCTATGAAAAGAAATAACAGCACAAGAGTCATGAGCTCTTACTTTTTCCCAGTTTTCTTCAATTTCTATACCTCCACATTCGGAGAAGCTGATATTAGCTCCAAGCCGATCTGACACAATAGATAGGTAGAATTCGTCGCTGTGAGGAACAAATGGTTCAACAATGAAAGTGGTGATAGGACCCTTGGTGCCGCTCATCTCCACCTGTGGTAAATAAACAAACCAAACTTCAGATAAATTGGTCTCAGGACTAATTTTACTGATTGAGAGAGAGAGGGAAAGAGGGTGTGAGAGAATCAAGCACACAGAATAAACTAATCTCAATAAGAATAAAATAGCAAGCAAGTTATACCTCTTTGCCGAGTCGGTCCTTAACGAATGACTCCACACCTGCCAAGTCCAGATTGAGTGCTACCTGCATCAACGTCATCACAAACCATTAAATACCAAAGCACATTGCATTTAATGAGGTAAAACAAGCCGTTGGGAACATGAACTAGCTGAATTTAAACTCCAAAGGCGTCGGACCTAACAAGTGAATCAGTTTAAATCGGCCACAAGAGTAATTCTGCAATACGGCGAATTATCTCACCAGTCCACTTTTACCGCGCTTGCCAAATAACATATCAGGTTTAACAACTAGGCGAGTAGAGTTAAGCCATGCTTCCTTGTTTGCCAACTCGTTGAAATCTGTTGATTGTGTTACCTGGATTTTCAAGCAAGAAACAGAAACCACTTTAATACTCACTCCTGACAAGGCATTAACATAACACTAAGGCAACATGGACATATTTTGATGAAACATAGTTAGAAATGCTCATCAGCTGATGCGCATTGACTAGTAAGTATGCAGTTAGAGATATGATTAACCTTAACAGCCAGAACATACCTGCGCAGCCTTGATATCAACATCAATGCCTGCTAGCCTCTTCAAGTGCTCCTTGAAGATGCGTTTTGAGTTATACTCTCTGATCTTCTTCCTTGCCATGGCTCAAGAATGGATTGTCCCTGGAGACAGTGACTGCACAGTGAGACCATGCTTTGTTAAGAGCAAGAGAATCTGGTAAAAGAAGTGAAACACAGAAAATTTAAAAATAAAAACAAAAATAAAAATAGAGGATTGACAACGGTTTGTCATAGTTCGCGGCAACGACCGCGACGAGATGTCCCTTAACATTTGATACCTGTAAAGGGATAGATCCGTAAACCTCTGTTTTCTAACACAATTCTCTAGTCCATGAGAAACAGAATCGTTAGTGATGCTATCCGCACAGTGGATGACAAGCACAAAGCTTTCTCTTGCCTAAGCGCATTATTGGCTATGTAAATTTAATGTAGAATCTACAGTTACAATCGACACTATCAACAAGCCATCGCACAACACCAAACGCAAACCAAACTAGAGCGAAAGCTTCTAATTACAGAAAGGATCATCCACATCGAAAAGAAATACGCTACTCGCAGAGGCCAACATAACTCATACATAACTGGCATCGGGCATGCAGAAGCAAATTGCCCACAATCTGCAAAGCGAAGCAAATCGTTCCATACACGCAAGACTATATCTCACCTGTGGGACAAGGAGGGACAGCTAGAGTTACAATCAAAACACGAATGCCTCACAAAGTTACGAGAAACAGTCCAACAAACTACCCATGAGCCGATACATCCACCGCTAGTTGGCTAATTCCTCGGCGCCAAGAAACAACTCAGAGAAAGCCCCAAATCTTATCAATCCCCCTTCCGGATACAAAACCGTGCAACATAAGAGAAATTCATCAAATGCAACACAACAACAGCCTACTACAGTTGACAAACAGCACATATGAAACCACAAGGCAGAGAGAATCTCACCTAGCAACCGATTGACGAAGGAGCAGAACCAGACACGTAGTTCTAAGATCAAAATAAAGCTACACGATCGTCGTGGAATGGCGAGGACAGATCACAGAGCTGAACTGAAGAGAGAGCTGTGATTCAGGGAGGCAGAGAAGTGAATGTATCTCGCTCCTTCACCGACGTGCGCACGGCAAAGAAGCCTGTTCTCCTTATGCTCCACTACGGTGCAAGTCCTGGGGTCGGAGGAGCAGTCCTTGCGAGCCCGGTGGTCGTGGCAAGCATGCTAAATTTGTGGGATGAGTGCTGACTACTTCCGTTTCCTTAACCGAGATGACTTGGGTCGCTGCTGCTATAGCTTGATGCCTAATGCTACTTGCCAGCTCCTCACGGAATCGGAACCCTTATCACCCCCTGGTTTTGGCATCCCACCACAGCTTAAGTTTGCTTACACAAGTAAGCAATATCGTGTAAGTTTTCATCATCCGTCTGATACTCTTATAGCCCACCGGAAACGAAAGCAATTCACAGCGTGCGAGATTTTTCCAAGATGGGGTTTGGAATGCCTGTTGAAATATGTTTTGTTGACATTAGTTACAAGCTAATCAGTTTTTCTTCACACAACCGTTGACTGTTGGGGTAAACGGTGAAGACCTGCGCATTTTGGTAAAGCCAAGTGATGGGTCAAAGAAAGAGACTGCCCGTCACTGATTGTTGCTTTTTCAGACTGTGCAGCCTGACCCGTTTCTCCCCCTTTCATCTCCCCAGTCAAGCCTTTTTCTTCCCAATGCTACAGTATGTGCAACCCAAAAAAGCGACATTCCCGAGGCCATCTCACACGCAGGAAGTTGGCGACTTCAAACGTGGGCAACAAACTTGCAGCATCCTCAAATTGACCAGAAAACTCTCAGAATTTTTCTTAAAAGTGATGCTTTTGGTTTGACTTGGGGTGGAAATCGTTCAACGGGAGTTTGCTGGGCAGGAATGGGACGAATGAAGAGTAGTCGGATTCCGTGTCAGAACTGAAACGAGAGTCGTTCATCCACCATGGCCAATCACTGAAACAGCTCTCCTCCTTTCTCCCTCTCTCGCTCTCTCTTGGCTCCCTCATCGATTCTGCAATCTCTGCCTGGATTTGGAGGGTGCGCCGCCTCAATCCGTCCGCTGCTTCGATATTGGCAGCCTATCCTGATTTGGTGAGTCTCCGGTGCAATTTTGAGATAACTCAGGTGCACTTTTTATGCTGTTTGAAGCTCTGTTGTGGTCCTTCCCTTGGTTCCAGTTTGGTGTAGTCACGCGACTTGCGTGTCTCCATGATTTTCCCCTGAATTGGGTTATCAATGTGGGAGCTCTCTGAGTATTTGAGTTTCTCTGTGCATGAGCATTTTCTCCCGTCATTTCAGTGCTTTAGGAGGAGGAGGAGGAGCAGAAGGGGAGTGATAGGGTTTCTCTTTAGTAGCTGCCAAAATGCGTTCTTTCGTGGTGTGAAAATTTGATGGGCGGTCTGTATTGCGTATAAACCCCTCGTTTCGGAAATTTTTGAAGGGGAGCTAAGAATTACTTGTTTCTCCATTCTGGTTGTGCATTGTATGCTTGCTTGAGGGCGTTTATGGTTTCGCTCATTCATCCCGGAGGAGGTAGTCGTTTCGTAAGTTCAAGGAAAGGTGACGAAGGCCTCTCTTGTGGAAGGGGGTTAAGTTCTGTGATTCACGGTGAAGACCAGAGTTTTTCCTAGTTAATGGGCTCTTGGCGGCCATTTAAGCAGAGAAATTTGATTCATTGGAAATACCATGAATAGATCAGGTCCATGTGTATACGAACATGAAGAATGTAAGATTGTTCTGGACCGAAGTGCCGGATGCCTGGAAGGCAGAAACAAGCTAGTTCATTGTCCATATGAACTCTGAGAAACCAAAATGTTGTTGGCATTGATAGAGACAACTTCAGCTAATTTTTCCTCTTTTTTTTTGGAGCAAACAATCGTCGATAGAATGGACCACAATCTTTGAAGACAGAGGAGTGACTACTGCTCCTTTGTTGTGTGTATATGCCCATCAGGAGCAGAGTGGACATGACAACATTGCAGTCTCAGATCGCTAGGGGGATAGCAGTAGCATCCTCCTGCCCATCTTCATCCATTATAGGAAGGAGTAAGCTTTCTCAGGGAGCTCATTCCCAAGCTTGGCTTAGCGGAAATAATACCGATCAGTGGCATGGAAGCGCGTTCTCACTCTTTGCCGGGTCTGTCCTGAGTTGCAAATCTTTTGAATTTCTCCGTTGCTGTATTGTATGAAGTAGTTTTTCCTTATTCAGTTTGGTGCTTCAAGTTATCTTTTAGTGCTGCTATCAGTGCCCAAGAGTGTATGCTTCCATCCCTCAAGTTTTCTCAGCTACGCACTATCTAGGATTAAAGGTGTTACTGTAAGGTCGTCTCTCCGCTGAGTTTCTTCCTTTACTTTTGTTCGATTTTACTTAGCTTTGGCCTAATTCCTCGTGACAACTAGTAACTTCGTTACTAAGCTTAGTGTGTGTTTCAGTTTTTCTCCGATTTATTTGACGATAAAGCAACTCCTTAAACTTGTAACCTGGTCGGAAGTACAGGCCTGCTCGGGAGCAGAGTAGTGTACAACGATCTACAACGATGACTGTGTGTGCAACTAGTAACGGTGTGAATGGAGGTTCAACTCCAGTCGATACTACCATAAGCCCCCGGGTAGCAGCCTTAAAACCATCGAAGACTATGGCCATTGCAGATGCAGCCACTGCTCTGGTGGAGTCCGGTGTTCCTGTTATAAGACTGGCAGCCGGGGAGCCAGACTTCGACACCCCGAAGGCAATAGTAGAGGTAAAAGGATAATCTCTATTATTTTACGAAAGGGGCGATCTTCTACAACTTGTGTAACTAAATCCTCTGAATCTTGTCGCAACTCTTTCATAAAATTATATGGCTTCTACTTGTGCCGTTACTACTTCGCATAGGCTCCCTTAGTATCCGAGTTTATTTGAGTATCTGCGTCTCTTAATGCAGGCCGGAACAAAAGCAATTCAAGAGGGCTTCACTAGGTACACTCCAAATGCAGGCACTCTAGAGTTACGAAAAGCTATTTGTCACAAATTGCAAGGTACTCCCTGGCAGCCTGAGTGAATCCACCCTCGACAGTCCAACTGTCTAGAACTATGCCCTATATTCTTGATCGCCGTATTTGTCGTGCTATTCAATATATCATGCTGGTGTTTTACAGAGGATGGAGAACTTAAATAAGTTCTGTTGAGAGCTGCTCTAAAGTTCATTCATTGATGTGGCTAAACACAGAGGAAAATGGGTTGTCCTACAAACCTGATGAGATTCTAGTTAGTAATGGCGCCAAGCAAAGCATTATGCAAGCTGTACTCGCCGTATGTTCCCCTGGTGATGAGGTATTATTCTCACTGATGATCCTTGCATTAAACTTGGTTAGCATCTTCGCTAAACTAGTTGTGATTATTATGTCTAATGTAATGGACTTTGGATATCTTAATCGTCAGTAGCCTCGGAGAACCTCGGGCATTGAAGTTGTGGCTTTCGTTGGACTGTAGGTTATTGTGCCAGCTCCTTTCTGGGTCAGCTACCCTGAGATGGCACGTTTGGCAGACGCAACGCCCGTCATTGTTCAAACTAAGGTGTCGGAAAATTTCATATTGAAGCCAGAAGCACTGTCTGCTGTATTGACTGAGAAATCCAGAGTTTTGATCTTATGTTCTCCATCAAATCCGACAGGCTCAGTATATACCCTTGAAGATCTGCAGGCAATTGCTGCAATTGTTGCAAAACATCCGCGTTTGCTGGTGCGACATTATTTGCTTTCTGCACCTTAACGCCGTCTTGTACACAATGTTTAGATGCCCTTCAGAAACAAAAGTCTTCATTCATAAGGACTATTTGAGAGATATTAAGTGAGACCTACTACTTTGGGTGGAGTAGTCCAGAACAGTTTATTTTTTTTGTGTTATTATCCTGGAGTGGCCCACGCTCGTATACTTTTACTTGAGTATGAGGCCTACTGACGCACCAACAATATGTTCAACTTAGATGTCATGCTGAATGCTTTTTGACAGCCTTCCTAAAGTGGAGGTATCATGGCAGGTGATCTCTGATGAAATCTACGAGCACATCATGTACACTCCAGCAACGCATCATAGCTTTGCAGCATTGCCGGGAATGTGGGAACGTACTCTTACAGTTAATGGTTTCTCTAAGGTACAGTTAGCCGGAGCTTGCAAGTAGTGAACGGATTGATGTGAAATGCCCTTAATCAGAACACATTCTGAGTCAGCATGCTGTGAGATTCTTTCTTGATATTTGCACCCGTCTCATTTCATATTAATAGTCATGACTATCTTTATTGTGCAAGAAATCTACTGAAGCAATATTTTGTATCAGTGTTTTGCGATGACTGGTTGGCGATTGGGATATTTAGCAGCTCCGAAACACTTTTTGGTGGCTTGCAACAGAATTCAGAGTCAGGTATCATTTCAATTGCGAAACCTAATCTTTTTGAATAGGATGCAATTGGATCATGCAATTGAATTTCGTATTTTGGTCAATGAGAATGTCGCGTTTAATTATCAATTCAGTAGCAACTGTTCGTCGCAGCTCTCATTCTGGTCCTTGCTTCATGTCGTTTGCATTCATCAATATCCTCGACAGCAATCAAGTTCACCAGCACGATGTTAAATCTGGGGTAAATAATCAGTTTGCAATGGTTCCTTTCTGTTTCCTAACAAGTGACATATTGTTCCAGTCAACTTCTGGAGCAAGCAGCATTTCTCAAAAGGCTGGAGTAGCAGCATTGGCCCTGGGCAAAGCAGGAGGCGAAGATGTAGTGACAATGGTGAAAGCTTTCAGAGAGCGAAGGGACTTTCTGGTACAACGTCTGCAAGCTATGGATGGTGTTGTACTTGCCGTTCCTCAGGTACGAAATCGGTAAAACATGTTGCCTTCAATTCTAACGGTTATAATTGAAGCATTGTCAAGTCATAGCTTTCAATTAGGAGCTAATTACTCGACACAAAGTTAAATGCATATTAACACATGTCATTATGTGGCTTCGAATTTTCCAGGGAGCCTTCTACTTGTTTCCAGATTTCAGTGCTTACTTTGGGAGTCACGCTGATGGATTTGGGTTTATTTCTGATGCTGAAACTCTATGCCGTTTCTTTCTAGAAAAAGCCAAGGTGAACGTTATCTTTACTTCTCTTTTCTACCTTAACTTTTTTCTATCATATTAATCCTTCCTCCTCGCAGCGATACATTGGGCATTTTTGTCTCTCTTGTGGATTGTTTGGTGATAGCAAAACAATGCACATTTTCAGAATTTCAAGGAAATAAACATTTGGAAGGATATTGCTCCGTCTTTGGAATACTTGTCGATCAGACGTTGTTGTCAACAAAGATTCCAGGTTTTGTGCTCATTGTAAAGATTGTCAATGCAGGTAGCTCTAGTCCCAGGAGACGCTTTTGGCAACGGTGGATGCATCCGAATATCATATGCAGCGTCCATGGAAGAACTGAAAACGGCCATTGAGAGTATTGAGTCTGTTATGGCTCTGCTTAAACCTGCATCAGCTGCCTCCCTTGCTTAGTAAACGGCATCAGAAGTAAACAGATAGAGCTCTCCCATTATTTATCGAAGTGTCAGAATAAGGAGTAGTGATACTTAAAATGTTTCATTTTTAAAAGCACCCGTCAGGTTGAGGGGTAGCTAAGCATCACTGAATCCACAGTCAGTCCCTCGACCATCACTTCTATGTCCCATCTCCAAACTCTCATTCAAGATTAACCCATCATAAATATATAAATGTGATTCCTTTACATGAAGATAAGTTCTGGTATAATCCAGTAAATCATGACGTTCTGTTTAACCCCTGATGTTGTTGAAGTGCATTAAGCTTTGCATTCTCTCATGGAGTTGTTCATAACTTTTAACAGTGTCCCTAGATGCTGTTAATGTCTGGATGCAATACATACTGAGCACTTGGGGTGGGTATTGTAGCTTTTAAGCGCATTTCGTTTTACCATTTAGAAAGGCTACAGCATGCAACATAAACATCTATAAACAATTTTGAGGCTTGCCAGAACTTAAGCTGAGTGGGTTTTGAGTTTTGATATCATCCACAATACACGTGAACTGTCCATACTTCGGTTTTTGTTAAAACAAAGCAGTGAGTAAACGATTGTACTTACTGCAGCTACAGTAGTGCTTATCTTCATGTTGGAATGTGGACTTTGGTACAAGTGGGACAGATTTTGTATTGCATATACATCACTCAAGTAGTAGAAATATCTTCGACATTTTATTTGAAATATTTTATGTCTATGCAAATTGTTTCACCTTTGATTTTATGTCTATGCAAATTCTAAGTATTTAAGGTTGTAAAGAAAACTTCTCAAATATTCATTTTAAAAAAACATTATATGTAAAGAAGAGTCACCTTTGATTTTGGCAATGGTTTCTTTAAATCCTTTTTTTTTGTCATTTGAACTGCAAATTTTATTTGTATTTACTGTAGCTCTTCTAATTTTTGGAAAGTTTTTCTTATTAAAATACAACATTAGACTTTATTCAATCATTACCTCTCTTAAAATTTTGACACTACTCAAATGAACCCTGTATCAATTGAGTAGATGTGCCCAAAATCATTTCATATTAAAATTTAATGATTTTTAAAATAATTTTAGTTAAAATTAGAAGAATAATAAAACAAATATAGCCAAAATACACCATAAACATTACAATGAAAATAATAAAATAAAAAATGTTATACTAGTTTGTTATATAAATATATACTAGTTTATATAACTAGTATATAAAAAATGATATACTAGTTTTAAATGTTATACTAGTATACCAATGACAAAATTTTCCTTTATCAGCATATACTGAAATACACTTAAATAATCATATGTTGAAATATAAAACTTTCTCTGTAAATTTTGCAATACATGTGTATATGTGCACACATAGTTACAAATACTAAAAAACGAAACATTTATTATCATTTTAATGATTAAATAGTTATGCTTTAATAACTTAATTTTTTTTTCTTTAAATTTTATAATTAAAAATTTAGAGAATGTAAATGATTTAACAATTTACATTTTGAGTTTTGATTGATGGAACAGATATTCATGTGTACAGCATAAATATAGATCTCAAAACATCTAAATAAGAATTATAATCAAGACAATGCAAAACGTAAAACTAACCTCTTTATAAAATAAGACATCATCTTTTGAAAAAAATAAAAAAATAAAAAAAATAACTTGTATTTCTATACTAAAATAACTTGTCATAAATGATATAAAAGATTTATATTGTTATGTAATACTATCAATTTAAAAATTCAATCTAAACTAATCAATAAGTGTTCATTAAAAGAAAGAAAGGCTCAAGCTACAAGCACACTCTAAGTTGCTACATGCACACCTCATATTGTTGTATGCACACCCAAAAAAATTAAATGCTTTTGATTGATTGGGTGTTATCATGTGAATCCTACCACATGACACAATTGTGGGGGGTTAGTAAAGGTGGCAGCCCCCTCTTTGGTGGTCTAATTAAAAATGAATAAATAAATAAGTAACTAGGTGTAAAAAGTGATAATTAGATAAAAACACGTTCTAATCCAATATAAGGTATTAGCTTTAAAATAAAATAAATAAAGCAAAAGTTGTGAAATAATAAGCTCAAATTTGATGGGATGGTCAATATAGAGAAGGGATTCAAAGAAAAGCTCAGCAATTTGGTAACTAAAAATCAAAAGTGGAGTTAATTTAATATACAATAAAATTTAGAGAACAACAACTCTGTTTGATTATTGGCCAAATATGCAACCTAGTTCAACATCAAATTTTCAGAAGTGCAACTATTAATTTTTTTCCGTTAAGGACATTGACTACCTGATAAGGCCAAGAACAAGTACAAGGTTGTTGCACTGTGTGTGTGCGTATATATATATATATATATATATTTATTTATATTATACTGTAGAGAGGAACAGATTGCAAATGAAAACAAACATTAAATTTACTCTACCATATGGTCTGAACTTATATGTTTCAGAAAATCTTGGAGATGGGAATAAGGCATTAACAAAATATTAACTTTCTATAAGGCCCAAGAACCATCCACTTCAAATGAATTAAAATACTAAAGAAAATAAAAGAAAAAGAAATAGCATCATTGTATGAGATAAAAATAAATAAAATAAAATCCAGTGCATATAGGTGCATAAATTTTAAACGCCTTTTATGTATTAAGAGAGGTGGTCCTTACAACAACGACAAAAAAAAAAGAAAACAAAACAAAACAAAACAAAACAAAAAAACAAAAACAAAAACAGTATTATTTGACAGAGTATATTGAAATACATATTATTGACATGAATGTTGTAATAAAATCATCATGATAAAAATTTCACTCTATCAAAAGGTTTCATAAAAAAAATTACGATAAAATAGAATCAAAGTTTTATTATTTGAATAATAAATTCTATCAGAATCCAAAACTATGGGATATAGTTGCACAAATGTAATAATATATTCAAGGATTCAATACACTCCTTCAAGTACATGAGTTTGTAGTTGAAAAGTATGAAAAGAATGACTACAAATAGAGACATACAGTATTAATACTGCCTAGATTGCATATATCCCTCACACACACACACAAACACACATACTCCAGAAAAAAGTGGTGGGCATTGCCTTCCTTTAACAGTTCAACGTGATGAAGTGGAGGGATAACAATATCATTCTTAAAATTTTACAAACTCAATCATATTAATATATATATATATATATATATAGATAGATGTGTGTGTGTGTGTGTGTATGTGTTCTGTTCATGAACATAATTGAATTAATGATTATACCCAGCTCAATCTGTGTATCGAGGGTGCTAATATGAATGGTGATAAAGAAGGGGAATAATAAAATAAAATAAAATAAAAAATATAATTGCACTTTTTGTTTGGTGTAGGGACAGCTATGGGGAATAGAACAGATACAATAGGCCACTACTTTTTTTGAAAACCGTTTTTTTAAATCGCAATAATCAGTGTTGTGCCATTTGTGACAGGATTTGCCAACTTATCCATTGGGTTGTAAATGGCCAAGCATGGTAATAACAACAAAAACAACAAACAAACATACATACATACGTAAATAAATAAATAAAATTGTTGCAGTCACCCTCACACAGATTCGCAAATTAAAAGGAAGTCAAAGACCCATTGCGAGGTTTGTGGAAGCGTCTTTAGTGACCTTTTTAAAATCCTATTGAATAAAAAGCTATTTCAAATCTAGGTTTTCGACAGTAAAATTCATCCGTATAATTGCCTATAATTGAACCACATGTGCACAAGAAGACAAAGACAAAGCATAAATGATGTCAACGGCGTTCATCCACTAGTTTTCCATGCAAGCTGAACTATAGGCTCTGCCTTGTGAATGTGTCAGGATCTGCAGGTGCTAAAATTTAACTGCATCACAAAGATGATCAATCTGACCAAATAGGAACAATAGAATCATTCTCTTCTATATATATATATATATATATATATGTTTTTTAAAATGGGTAACATGGCGTATGAAGGAGATATACCAGGTTCCACAAAGTCTGATTCACGCCAGTGCAGCTAAATTCGGCAATACAAAGGGGTCTAGAGTCAAGTGACAAATGAAGAGGTGGTTGGGAGCGTGGTGAACATACTGAATCCCCTCTTGGCTTTTTATATATTTTTCCTTTTCATTTTATTTTATGATGTGGTAATCCTTCAATATATGTAAGGGCTCTTGCTCTGTATCTCCCTGAGACTTCCATCATCCTTCAATCCAACGAGCCTTTTTGCTTCATTAATAGTAAAATATCCCAAGGAGGGCATCTGGTCACAGGTACACAAATCATGGTCGCATCTGAATAGTCCCAGTAATCTGAACAAGAGCTAGGTTGGGGGGGGGGGGGGGGGGGAGAGGGGATGTGGAGCTGTACTTAATTGATTATTTTAATTTTATGCAAAATGGATAGAAATAGATAGATAGAAATCATGTGAGTGCTGCACTGCTGCCTCTTGTCCTTAAGTCCACATCCAACACTTTGCATGGGTTGCCACTCACTAGGTGCTAGAATGTGCTTCCCTCAGAGTACAAGGGCAAAGGACAATGAGTTTGATTTGCATGCATGGAAGCATATATAAGCTCATTGGATACTTGCAACAATAATGTGAGAGACAAATAATCTTGCAATTTCAGGCACACACAAGGTCTGGCATCTTGGTAACAGGACAGTTGTGCAAGGGTGGTAAGGAGGGGGGCAATAAAAGAAGAGAAAGGCCCATCCAGACAGCTCTCATCAATCAGTTTATGATTTTACCTTACCCCCTAGCCTTGCAAAAGATTCCTTCTAAAGACAATACCCAATACGAGAAAAGAAGAGACTATCTTCTGTGACACCTGCTCCGCATCTCTCTTTCTATTTCCAGACGGTAAAATTGACCACCAGCCTGCAGCCTCAAAGAAAATAATATTCATTCAAGTGCAAGTACAAGAAGTATTTGCTGAGAGAGATGGTAGTAACAGTAGCAAGTGTTTGAGTTTAGAGGATGGGAAACTACTCGTATGAGTGGTTACTTCATACAAATGCTGAACTGTCTACTAATGCCTTTGAAACATGCTCAAACATCCTCGTGGACAGAAAAATGAATTCCAGGAAATGAAAAAGCATATAATTGTGGGCAGAAAATTGTTACATGGTAGAGAAAAAGAAAAGAAAAAAGAAAAAAGACCCCAATAGCGCCATAAGCTAGCCCAACGGAATGGCCTGAAAAAACTCGCAGAACTGAATGGGGCTATATTACAACTCAGTAGCTGAACCGAAGAGCTGCTCAATCAAAATGGCATGCGCAACATCCTTCTCATGAAGCAGGAAGGGGAGGAACACCCATATGCAAAAAGCCACTCCTTGACGGCCATGTATTACAAAGAGAAAAAAAAAGGAAAAAAAAAAGAAAAAAAAAAAGGACTGAATAATTGTAATCAAAATTGCATCTGTCACCGAGAAAATCTGCTTGACCAGGGAAAGAGACACACACACACACTCCACAGTGCTTAGACCCAGATAGGGAAAAAACACACACACTAGGTGGAGGGGTCCCATGACTTCCCAGGAGAATGACCGCTAGCATTCACGGATCGCAAATTCTCTCGTTGGTTAAAGAAGACGCCGAGGTCTACCCCTGGACCTAGCGATGTGATCCTAGCCAAATCTCGCGGTGACAGAGTACGCCCCATCCCTCCACCAGCAGCTGTAATCCCCGAAGCTCCTCCCACCCCCAGAAAATCACGCGTGAACCTGTCGCTGCTATCGTTCTCCACTCTAGAAGAACCACCAAGACCTGGCAACAAGGATGAAGAAGAACTCATGCCTTGAAACACACCTTGCCCTCCTCCAGGGAACGTACTACCAGCGAGAACGTCACTCGGAGACATCCGATGAGTACTGGGTGGCAGCATTCCTCCCATGTTTGTAGAACTAGGTCCAAACATGGAGGGCATACTACCAAACGGTCCTCCGAACATTCCAGCCCCTCCAGATAAAGAGTTCATGAAGTCTTGCACGTTAGTGGAACTCTCTGACAGTCTCCCTTGAACTCCCCCAAAGTTGTTGGTCTGCCCTAACGACGAGCCGCCCAGCCCTTGTGAAACACTCTGCAAATCACCTGGCCGCCTCATTAATGGTTGGTTTCCCATGTTGGACATGTTGTTAAGTGGAAGATCACCTGTCCTTCCCTGCTGCTGATGCTGATGTTGTTGTGGCTGGGATTGTGATTGAGACTGCTGCTGCGCCAGGTGTTGCTGCTGCGGTTGCTGCTCTTGGCGTTGTCCCTGCCAGATGCCCATGGAGTCTGAATCTGTGCCACCTTGCCCAAATCCTCGGAATAGAGAGGTGTTGCTGGCAGTTGCACCCATTTGAGCAGCTTTCTGCAGTAGAGCTGTTGCAGACATCTGAGCAGAAGCAGTGTGCTGCTGTTGCTGATGTTGAGGATTAAAAAGTGGTGACACTGAGGAAAGGTTTCCACCTCCATTGGTGCTCCTTGAAGAAGCGTTGCTTGCCATTCCAGCTGAGGAAGTCGAGGACAACCCTGCGGTGGCTGATCCACTATCTATACGGTTAGCTCCCGCTGCTGAAAAATCTGAGAATCCTGATATATCCATCCCAGTAGTAGCTCCACTTTGAGATGAACTTGATGCTTGAAGTCCTTGTCCATTTCCAGATGCAAGCAAGTGGGCGAACAGGCTTCCAGAGGGTGTCAACGGAAGGTGACCACTTGAATGTCGAGGTGCCTGTGGCATCTCGTAGTCGAGTGTGTTCATCATTCCAGGCAGACCTGCACCACCCTGCATGCCTTTGTGAGCCTGCATTAAAAACGAAGAATTTCCATCCGATCCTGGTAGCAGCTGATGCATCTGCTGCTGATTACCAGGACCAGGGCCAGGTCCTAACCAGAGCGACAATCCAGTGCCAGTCTTTGAGGCAGGACCAGAACCAGAGGTTGCACCCCAACGAGGCAACAGAGGGTGGCAACTCTCACCAAGATCACTCAAACCCACCATAGACTGTGGCATACCACCAGGTCTACTTGCTAACGGAACCATGGAAGCCAAAGGTTCCCCATTCATACGACCCACATTATTCACGTGAGGAGAGGAAGGAGCACCTATGACTGACATGGATGACGAACCTGAACCTAGGAGGCTATCAGGTTGTCCACCACCTTGCTTTCCTGCAGATACTCGAGCACTGTCTTCTGCCAGAGCATCACAGAACGCTCGGTGGGTAATAAAACTGTCACGCCTGCATTGATGTCAGGACTCAAAACGTTAGCCATCACACGTGTTCTCAAGTTTGTCTCACTGGAAGAGATCCATTCCAATGCTAGAAGCACAAAACACTATCTATTCCTATTCAGGTTTGTTACAGCTAACCAAGCAAGAAGCAAATGACACAAACTGAATTCGACGTCTAAGGTGCTTCCGGAAGTCTTCGCAACGTACGGTCTGCCAACTTCACAACCCTGTGCAAGAGATGTCCATCGTATGCAAAAGAACCACAAGAGAATCTCACCTGGAAAATAAGGTCCCACAATCGCAGCGGTACTCTCGAGTACCACAAGTCTTAGAGTGGGCCTTCCAGTCGGATTGAACAGCGTATCTCTTAGAGCACTTGTCACACTTCCACTTCTTCTCACCGTGCTTTCGGCAAAAGTGTTTTTTGATTCCAGTCAAGTCGCCCAGAGCACGCGACGGGTCGTGATGCACACAAGAGGGCTCAGGGCAGATGTAGACGCGCTTGCGAACCTCCTTGCTGGTCCGTTGCCGCAGCTTCCACGGCAAGTTGTGACCGCGCCGATGTAACTGCAGATTTTGATCTCGCTGAAACCCCTTGTTACAAATTTCGCACACGAATCGATTCGTGGCCATCAATGTCTTTGGTGATAAAGCTATCACCTCGGCTTCCGGGTCTGCGTATTAAATCCAATATCGTTGGCACCTTGAACTCATCTTCACAGTCCGCTAACGACATTTAAAAATTACTGACCAAAGGGAACAGGAGGGAGTAAATTAAGACTTGTGAAGATGAATCTGACATCTAAAGTACTGACGTGATTTAGACTATCAGCTCCACATGTGTACAACCTCAACCTCGTCAAAACCACCATCTCAGATGAGCGATAGTAGTGCTCCCTTGCAAAAGTATCCAGTAATGAGAATGTGACCAATGTAGAGTCAACCGACTATACATCAATATAGAGGCAACCAACTATACATCAATATGTAGTCAACCGACTAGCGATCACGTGCACATCCTAGTAGTGCATTAACAGATAACAGTACAAGGTCGAAGGGAGAATGGGACCGATGCAATCAACTGTGGTCTTTAATGCTCAAGACTGGAAACTGAACAGTTCGGGTCATCAATTAACATATCAAGAGAAAAGCATCGAACCTCAAAAGGATTTTAAAATGTGATAACACACACACTGTACAAAGAGGAACAAATTCTGCCTCGATTTTCCAGCGTCCGGCGACGCGAATGGAGACGGTAAGCGGTTGCAGCACCCTTGGGAGAGATGGGAATTGAAAACAACAAAAATACGCACCTGGAGTACCTGGCAGATTCCGCTTGCGTTTGACAGCAACAGCAAGAGGCTGACCACTCGAGACCGTAACGGTGGTGACAGTGGGGGTGGCTGGGGTGGATGATGTCGGTAGCATCCCAGTATTGGTGCCATCTGTACGGTTACCTGACGACACACTTGCTTCGCCAGCTGATGCGCTGGTTAAGTTGGACAATGTCATTTCCTCTTCTATTTGTTACTCCTTCACTGTAGCGGAGAAAGGTTCGTGGAGAGGGAAATAGAGAGCGCACAAGCACAAGGCGTCTGGCTTCCCAGTACGACTGGCTAGGGACGATGCACCCAAGGTGCTGCTGACAGGAAATAGCAACACCGAACCTGAGCTGCTGTAGGCGTGTTCTTTACGAGCATCATGCTGCCCTCTACCTGCGCCCAAACTAACAATCCTCTCTCACAGGACAGCGCCGTTGCAACAAATTAGAAAGATTCCACCGCTCACAGTTATTTCTCACCAAAACTTCTTCTGGTTTCCGTGTACTGCCTTTCTATGCGCCCTGACTATCACAGTGGGCACAAATTGCATCATCTCCAGCGCATCTACACGTAGTTTACTACTCCACCGCCTGCATGCGTCGCTCAAGCTGCCGCTGCAAAAAATGCTACTCCTATCTCCT